GCCGGCGGAGGCCCCAGGGGAAGGTCCCCTCGCGGGCCTGTGAGTTGATTCACAGGAAATGTTGCCGCCCAGCCAGCGGCTCCGGCGCTGGAGGCAGTTCGCGGGCTTTGTCCGCACACTCCCCCCGGGAGGGACTGGCCGCCCCAAGAACTGCCCCCGGGAGGGTAGGTCCCGGTGGGGTGCGAGCCCGCCCTGTGCCGGGCGCTGTGTTGGACGGTGCTGTGCCCTCCGGGTGGACCTCCAGCTGGGACCGCCCAGAGTCGCTGGCGGGGGAGTTCTGTGGACGGTCCGGCCGGCGCCTCCTGCCCCTCGTGCTTGAGGGGCAGGGACGTTTTGGCCACTTTCTTGGTTTTCTTCTGACCCAGTCGGGGTGTGTGTGTTTCATTTTTATTTTTCCCCTTTATTTTATTTTTCCCATCACCATTTATCCCTCTGTACCCTGTTCCCCTGCACCCCCTCCCTGCAGTCACCATACTGCTCCGTGTGGTTTCACCCTCTAGCAAACCACAGGTCAGCAGGAGGCGAGGAGGGGGTGTCCCTGGGTACCTGCCTGAGAGCCGGCACCAATGCTGTGCCCTGCACCCCCCACCCCGCCACCCCCAGGAAGGAAGCTCCCCGAGGGTGGGTTTGCAGCCACACGTCCAGGGCCAGGCTCTTAGTGGCCCCCAAGCAAACGTGTGGATTCAAGGAACACGTGGAAATAGGTCAGCTGTCCGGGGACGGACCGGGTGGGGAGGAGTCTGGGTAAACCCACGTGGCGTTTATTTCCACTCACTGAGGGTAGATTTACATAACTATTGTAGCTTTATTTCATGAAGGGGAGCAGGAAGTGAGGGTGCTTGACTGAGCCACAGCTGCTCCCGCTGAATTTCAGGAGCACTTGGGGTTCATCAGGCAGCCCATTCAGTATGATAGTTCTTTTGTTTCTGAGGTTTAGGATTCCAGCCGGTATTGAGATGTATCGTTTGGGATTTTGGGGGGCATTGTCCTACTTTAGATTGAGATGTCATTCCAGTCTGCAGGCTGGGGGGGGGGGGGGGGGGGGGCGGATCTGACCCAGGGGAGTGTCACGCCAAAGAAGGGCCTGCGGGCTGAGCTGTCCAGAGGCCTGAGGCAGCCCAGGGAATTCTCCAGCTGAGCACTTGAATGTCACCCTGGAAACTCGTTGCTGACGGTCCTGCTGCTGCCGCCTGAGGGGCAGTGAGGTGGGTGTGTGAGCTCAGGTTCCTCCCCCAGGTTCCCAGGTGTGTGCTCAGCTGGTGTCCCTTTCCTCCTCCTTCCCCTCTCCTGGGCTGTATTGCTGTATTTTTTAAAAAATGTTTTTATTAATTTTAGAGAGGAATGGAGAGGGGGAGAGAGAAAGAGAAACATCGATCACTTGCCTCCCATAGGCACCCATACTGGGGACGGAACCACAGCCTGGGCATGTGCCCTCACCAGGAATCGAACCGGTGGCCTTTCGGTGCCTCGGACTCACTCAGCCAATGGAGCCACACCGGCCAGGGCTGTACTGCTTTACTAGGGAGGGCTCTTCCCATCATCTGAATGAAGTTAACCCCATGGTTGCCACTCCCCTTTGGTTTTACACAGACGGGGATCTGGGGATCTCAGTGTGGGCTCCAGCCCCCCTTGCCTGGGAGTTCAGGAAGGGACAGAGGGAACCGTCTTGTGCGAGGTCCGTAGGCGCTTCATTTAAGAAAATGGCCCCTGTGAGGTGCTGGGTGTGCCCGTCTGGTAAACTCCCGTGGCACCTGCTGGTGTGGCTGGGGCGTTTCTCAGGGCACGGGAAGGTGTGTCTGCAAGTAACAAGTTATGGCAGGTGCCAGGGAAGCTCCGCCTCTGCTCTGGGGAGAGGCGGGCTCAGAGGTGTCAGCCTCCCCTCCCGGCCACGGGCTCTGAGGGCGTTCTGTGGCTGTGCCTTGGTTTGCTCACGTTTCTGACCGAGTGAAACCCCCGTGCGCCGTGTGGGTGACTCGCACACGCACATACGTTGTGCTCCTGGCGTGCTCCAGGCGTGTTGCAGAGTACAGTGTTTCTCAGGAACCAGCATGAGGATTGTTTTGGAAAACTGTGCTTCATGGACTGTATTCTGAACTATATTCCAATCAGCTGGCCTGCACAATTAGGAGTGAGAAGAAGCACACCCAGTGTTTCTGGAGGCAGAGCCTGGCTAGTTTTCTGGGCATGGATGGCGGCCCCGAGGCCTCCATGGCCCTTTCTCTGTTCAGCGCTAGATGACTGGGACTTGAGTTCCTCTGACAGTGCCGGGCCGGG